TAGCTGGAGGTTAGTGGAATAGTCTCAACTACTGACCATCTCACAACACCTTTAAAAAACATACCAGAAAATGCATGACCTGAAATCTGGGCCTGTCTGGGGAAAACCTGTACCTGCTGACAAACACATGTGGGGCAACCTTTAGCTGGTTCTATTTTTCAGGAAACCACCCACAAAAGAGATGCAGAGTTTTACTAGCTTTAAGAAGCCACAGGCTTCCTTGATGTCTCCAAAAAATTTTTTTAGTCTTTAAAAAATACATTGTCGGACATGGTAGTACACACCTATAATCCCAGCAGCTCGAGAGGCTGAAGCAGGAGGATCATGGTTTAAAGTTAACCTCAGCAATGGAAGGCACTAATTAACTCAGTGAAACTCTCTCTCTAAATAAAATACAAAATAGTGCTGGGGATGTACCTCAGTTGAGTGAGTACCTCTGAGTACCCAAAAAATCCCCAGTACCATAAAAAAATACACACACTCACACACACACTCACACACATATAGGCAGCTTAGTGCTAAAACCAACATGTTGTGGTCCTACAGAGTCTTTTAAAAAAATCTTTAAGTAACTCCCTAAACATACTAGAATTTTAGATTCCTTATCTGAACAGAGTAGAAGACTTGGAAACATGTTAGTAAATTCTATGACAAAGATCCTTGCTAAGATCTTTTGTGATAGACAAAGATGACACAAACATATAACAATATTGAAGCTCCAAAAGACACTGCTGAACTTGGAACATAAAAGGATAATTAGACCTAGCAAACACTATTCTGCTGCATCTACAGCAGAAAGGAATGGGTGCCTCCATACTTACTGGCAGAGAAACTATTTTGGCTCCTTGCTTTGCTGCCTCCCTGACAAGGCTACAAGCTCGATTGACATTATCTGATTTGATGGAAGAAACTTGAAGCTGGATGAGGGCCAAGCGGAAAGCTGGGGACAAAGACAAAACATATGTCAGAAGATCTGACCACTAAATTCATATAGAACTGATGATTCTCAGAGAGCATCTTGCAATGTCTGGAGATATTTTTAATTGACACAACTGACAATCTAATGGATTAGATTATTAACACTGATGAAGGCCTATTTGCCTCAAGGTTAACCCTAAATGTAGGACAACTCTGATGTCACATTCCTTGATTTAATCTTTAATGTAAGAGAAAAGAGCTAAATTTAACCCTAAATGCAATTTGTTATTCAGTTTCAGAATCTGGATAAAAACAAAGTTTCTAAAACAGGAAGCAAAAGTTGACATTACTTCAGGGCAAAGAGATACTTTAAGCTGTTATCAAAACACCACACAAACCCAGTAAAGGTCTCCCCTAAAATCCAGAAGCTGAGTTTTGTCTCTGCCTCTGAGCGGAGGAAAACATGGCTATGTTGGTGGCTTCCTCTCTCTCCCATCTCACAATCAGGGCAAGGGTCTGCCTGACATTCTGCAAATCCTACTCTGCAGAGGGCTGCAGCAGTGGATCTCCACCACTGTCGAGATCCTCCACGCTGAGGACAAGATACGAATCACATCATCTGCTCTTCTGCAAAATGAAGGGGAAAATTACTTATAGGACCCTTGGTTGCCTAACATTCATTATAATCTGACAAATCAAGCAGGAAAAAATAACAGAATATCTTAATTGAAGGTATCAACATGCGAATAACACTTAAAGGAATATGCCAAGTCTTTTACACTTGTGAGGTAACAAGAAGCTTGCAGAGGGAAAGCTGCACAAATAAATGACTCTGTAAAGGACGATGGGGAGGAAGAATCACCTGGGCACCGTTTTGTGTCGGGGTAGGAGTGGGGCCACGAAACTTGAAACACTACACACTACCTACACCACCGAGAACTACAAGAGGGTCAGCCTCTGTCCGCCAGGAGGCGAGAGCGGCAGGAAGCGGAGCCCTCGGAATCCCAGGAAACGCACTAGCCGCTCCTCAGCAATGCCGCCGCCCACACCGACCTTCACCTGAGCTGACCAACACCTGCGACCCGAAGGCCGCAGGCGCAATGGGGTAAGAGACTGAGGTGGCTGATTCTCTCCAGTATCGCACCAAGCCTCTGCTCTGGCCCAGCGGTGGCTGTCAGCCCCGCAGCCTCACTTACTAGCCATGGCTCTCCCTGGCAGCACCATCTGCAGCGCGGGAAGAGCAAGGGTCGGGCGGACTGCGTCGGTGCGCGGGGGCGAAGGCACGTACGCGGGGGCGGAGCCACGGCGTCAAAGGCTCCGCCCCTTCCCCCCATCTGGGCCGGCGACGAGGGGGGTTTCTCTCAGTCTTCTTCAAACCGCTCAAGTTCTTTTGGTTGTTTGTCGTGTATTTTCGGGAGACCGGGGTACTGGGGTTCTAACGCTCTACCACTGAGCCGCATCCCCAGCGACTTTTATTATTTTGAGACAGGGTCTCGCTAAATTGCTTAGGGCCTCGCTAAGTTTCTGAGCCTGGCTTTGGACCGTGATCCTCCTGCCTCAGGGCCTTGAGCCTTTTGGATTACAGGCGTGGGCTACCACACCACGACAGGCTCCTGGGTTTTTTTCGTTGTTCTTTTGTTGGTTTTCCTGTTTCTTTTTTCTTTGGCGGTTCTGGGGATGGAACGCAGTTCTTTGAGATTGCAAAGCAAGCGCGCAGGTACACACCTCAAACCCCTACTAATGGCTCGCTCTTTGCACTAGCCTGGACCAACAAGAAATGGTTAATTACCACACAGGCCGAAAGTTGAACGCCTCCTAAGGCAAAGGGCAAAGAGGGGCAACCTAAATCATGGCAGTGTGCTGGTAAATGTTTCTCGTAAGCGGACTTTCTGTGGTGGAAAAGCCTGATTTGGAATGTTTGCCAGTTCTTGGCCAGGGTCTGAACTCCTTGTAGTTGGAACCTCTGTGGCCCTGGGTAATTCCTTGTGCTGATTGATTTGAGTCACGTGAACAAATCTCTGTGGAAAGACATTGGGGTGGAAAGACATTGGTTGATTTAGAACTGAACTACCTAAAGAGGAATGGGAAAAGAGGTATTGAGGGTTCAGACTCATTATCCTGTGCAACATATAAGATCCCTAACATTCGGAAAACCGCTTGCTAAAATTCTGTTTTAGGATTAGAATTTATATTTGTTACGTTGCTTTTTTTTTTTTTAAGGAAATAAGGTGGGTTTTTTTTTTTACAACTTTATTATGTGGTGTGGAGGATCGAACCCAGTGCTTCACATGTGCTAGGCAGATGATCTACCACTGAGCCACAACCCCAGTCCTGCTACATTGCTTTTTAATTGTGTTTTCGTGACTTGTCAGATTTGCAAATCAAAATCAACCAATAAATTTTGAACTTTCTTTTCTAATGACTTGGACTCATTTAAATTATATTAAAACAGATCCTGAGTTTTCAAAGAACACTATAAAAACATTTTGGGAACAATTAGGAACACTTAAATGTGAACTGACATTTGATGCTATATTTTGGGGGTTTTATGTTTAATATGGTATGACAATCATGCCAGATAATGACACTACTCTTAGGTAAGGCATGCAGAAATAGTTAAGGGTGAAGTGTCAGAATATTAAGTGAAAATGGCCAGCTTTTAGGAAATATGTATAAGACAAAAATGGCAAAATGTTAGTTGCTAAATCTAGAAGGAGGATATATAGCTGTTCACAAAACTTAGTACTAAGTTTAAAATTTTTAAACTTTGATAATAAAAAGTTGAGGGGGAATACATAGCAATTATAGGTTTTCTGCAGCTTAAAGGGAAAATAATTTTTTTTTAAAAAAAGTGTTTTTTAAAGTTTTCTTTCAAATTATCTGGGCATAATGGGAAAGTTAAGCATTGGGTTCTAGCTCTGACTGTGATCCTGATTTGATGTTAATACCAAGGCCAATCATTTCACCTTGTGAACTTTTTCATCACCTGTACAGGAAAGGACTTATAAGCAAAGGAAGGAGAATGAGGCCAAAAGACTGTGAAACTCTCCTTGCCCCTGCTCTACTTCCTGAACCTTCAAGTGCAGCAGCTCTGCCTCCCTTTCCATGTTGTTTTATATTATCTTTGAAACAAGACAAAATATAAAACTACTAGACCAAATGTATTTCGAAGGTCCAGCTAAAACTCTGATGTTCCTTTTCAGTCCCTATTCCCACTGCCATTCATGTCTGTCTCAAAGTTTTAATGACCATTTCCAAGTTGGTAGCAGTCAGATTTCTATTTTCTACTCTGGAGGCGATAGTTCACAATCTCCAGCTGCCTGTAAGCCATCTCTGTTTACATGCCTTGACATTGGTTCAAACTCAGTTATTTGAAACTAAATGGGTCATCTCCAAAAAAGATTTTTCTCCTAGTCCTTGTACTCATTCTTGCCACCCTCTTGCCTCGTTTTTCAATTTCCGCTGGTCCCTACCCTCCCCCAAAATTTTAAGCCATTTCAACATCTTTCAAGTCTTTCATCACCCATCTGTGGTTAGGGATAGAATTCTCCCTCACTCAAAAAAATGTTCCTGCTACTTCCCTTCAGTTTCCATCACCATCCTCCACAGTTAGACCTTCCTCACTTTGGAGAGGCTGCTGCAGACATGTTATAACTGGTCTCCTATCCTCCAATCACTCCTTCATAATATTAGATACTTAGTTTGGGGAAATTGAGTTCATTTCAGGTGGGTCAGGAAGATATGTAAATGATAGTAAAGGATAGGTAATTCAGAGAAAAGGGGCTGAAAATCAGAAGGGTATTGGAGTCCTTTGCACAGAATAAAAGGAGAAACTAAGAATAAATCCTAGAAGGAGAGAATATGATACTACAGGATCAAACTTAGTAATTATATGGTTAGAACTTTGTACAGGGAGGAGTGTGTGTGTGCCTGTAAATACACATACATAGATAGATACTTTAAATCTCTAGTGAAATTGTCAACAAATCAGAAGATCAGAATTCAGAACTTTGCTGACAGCATGTGACTTTGGGCAGGTTATTCAGTGTAGGGAAGGCAATTTAATATACCTACTAGATAGGTAACTATGGAGTAAAGGTGCCAACTTTGAAGACAGAAAAGCAAACAAACAGTGAACTGAAAGCCACAAATTCTGGCCTCCTGTTTCCAGGCCAGCCTACCAAAAGGAGGCAGGTTAGAATTGCAGTATGAGCATAAATTTTGAAATTAGATCATCTGGATTTAAATTCTGACTCTGCCACTCATTAGCTATATAATCTTGGAAGTCACCTTCTTTGTTCCCAACCATAAAATAGAGATACTGGTGTAGAGAATAAGATGTAACTGCGCTACTATTACTATCCTTGATGGAGTCTGCCTGCAAACAGGACATTCTGTCAAAGTATAGATAGTAACAGCGGACATGCTTGAAAACGAAGTGTCTGCTATCCTTGGGAGGACTTGCCTGCAAACGGGATGTTCTGCCAAGTGGGCTAGGAGAGTGCTGAGAAAAATTTTATTATCTGTTCTTAACAAAGAGCAGAGCTCAACATACTCCAGGCCGAGAATAGATTAGCCATGAGAAGCAGGTCACTTCTGATTAGAAAGTAAAACTTCTGTATGCTATGTTTAATTAGCTGAAAGACCTGATTTATTGAAGTTGGAAGGCTGCCTTCTTTGTTCACAATACTATAAAAAGATTGCTTGTACATAATAAAGGACTTTTTTTTTCTGCTGCTTCGCTTGCTCTGCTTCTTCTTTTCCCATGCTGACCTGCAAGTGAATTACTGCAACATACTGGCACATAAAGCAGTGATTAAGAATTATGAAACACTATAAGTGTTTTTAAAAGTAAAGTACTTGTTCATTAGAAACCAAATTGCCAAATTTTGGAAAAATCTTGTAAATTTCAAATGTTGTCAACTTCAAATTTCAAAAATTGTGTGGGCCACACAAAATGTCATATTCAGCTTTAAGCAGCCCGTTTATGATCTCTGCTATTCTTATTTTCTTCCTCTGTTCAATACTTGGCAGGCAATACTTAGGCCCTCAGATACAAGGATAGATGCCTCACACACTCAGAGAAATTAGGTTAGTCCGAATTTCTTTTTTTTTAATATTTTTTAGTTGTTGATGGACCTTTATTTATTTGTATGTGGTGCTCAGAATAGAACCCAGTGCTTCACGCATGCTAGCCAAGCACGCTACCACTGAGCCATAACCCCTGCTCCCCGAATTTCTTCACTGTTCTGCCTCTTCACAAATCAATGGAAAGAATCAAATAAGAAATGTGAAAATGCTATGAAAAAACATGCCATTGGATTTTGAAAATAGAATCTATTGAATTTACTTATGAGCTTTTAATTTAAAACATTTTTTAAATGTACATATAGTAAAACTTTTTCCATGCACATTCCTGAGTTTTAATACAATATAGATTTACATAACCACCATCATAATCAGGATGTAGAGCACTTCTAACAGCCTGAGTATTCCCTGAGTATTCTGCTCCTTCATGATCAATCATTTGTTCAACCCTAACCCGACTTGGTCCTGTCTTTGTTTGCCTTTTCCAGAAAGTAATATAAGTGGAATTATACAGTATATATTTTGATGACTTCTTCTTTCATGTGGCATCCTACCTTTGAGATCTGTCCATGTCATTACACATATCAATAGTTTATTTCTTTTTATTGCTAAGCAGTATTCCAATGGATGGATATATTAGTGTTTATATACTACCTGCTGAAAAACATTTTAGGTTGTTTCCAGGTTTTAGTAGTTATAAATAGACTGCTATGAACATTCATGACCAGGTTTGTTTGGTTTTTGTTTTTGTTTTTTTTTTTTTTTTTTTTTTTGGTATTAGCTTCCAACACTTGATTCTTGGGCAACAGACTCAAACTATAGCACAAAGACTATCTTTTCTCAATTGAATTAGCGTTGAATCTTTGCAAAGAAAAATTTTGCCCATTATCTTTCTATTTCTGAACATATATTCTGTGCATTGATTTATCTATTCTGTCACTACCTTATTGTCTTGATTACTATTAGCTTTTATGTAAGTAATAAAATCGAATAGTGTTAAGTCTCCCTGACTTGGTTCTAACTTTCAAAATTGTCTTGGATATTCTGTTTCCTTTTCCTTTCCATACAAATTTTAGAATTGGCTTGTTTGTATTGAAAAAAAAAACTTCCTAGGATTTTAATTGGAATTAAATTAAATCTATAGTTCATTTAACCAACATCTTAATTACATCATCTGGCAATTTATAAACATGGTATGTTCTCTATTTATTTTGGTCTTTGATTTCTTTCACA